TGAGCTCTGAACCGGAAAGTGAGCTGGCGGATAGCTTCCTCCTTGTAGCGATTAGAAATGGAAGTACTGTGGCCGCTGATTATTTGGTGATCGCGTTGACTTACAGTAGTTAGGACTTCAGCTGTCCCTGCCTGCTGTTAGCATTAGATGCTGGGTTGGCCCCGCGTGTGTTTGAAAGAATTCTCACCTTTTATAGTTGTTTTGTTTTGCTTTTGTTCTGGCATCTGTACATCTGGCATTGAATCATTTTCCGTTCAAATGTGTTTCAGACGAGTTTCGTTTACACTCACAAGGCTTTAATTTCATTTATGTGCCTTCATTCTGTTTGGGGAGCTATTGAAACTAGCTAACTTTGTACGTGTAGTTTACTTCTTGGACATGCCTTTGTCAAATGGCATGGGAATTCACAGAAGGAAATAGAGCTTTGAAGGCAGTCAGACTGCCTAAATCTGTTTAATTGCGTGCTTTGGCAACTGTTAAGTGTTTGATAAAGTACAGAGGCGATGAATCATATTGCAAGCAAATCTGACTATAGTAAAATGTGCTTGTTTCATTTTTATTTGTTTGCAATTTAATTGCTAGTTATAAAACCTCATATGAAGAATGTAGTTTTTTAAACTTTGGTTGGTTCTTCTGAACCTGTTTTGCTTTTTCACTTTAGGTTTATCTTACTGTGTTTTTCAAGTACTAGAATTAGGGAAGACTTGTTTTTGCAAAATGATTCTTACATATGCCAGTTTATTTTTCTCCCCTAAAGACACATACAGTACAGTATTGGTCATTAGTGTATGAATGTCTCGTTCTGATTAATTAAAACATCTATACAGAACTCCACCTCCGGTGAGCTTTCTCTTTAAAGAGCACAGAGGCAAGTTGCCCCCACTCTAGCTCCACAAACCCTTGATTTCCACTTTAGTAGACTATGGCCCTAGGTGTTAGGTGGCTCCACTCAAAATGGATTAAGAAATAATAGTGTGCCACTGGTTTATGAAATTGTTAAATACCCCTGGGTAGTGTAAAATTTAAAATTCAGATTATAAATAAGCACTTTCAGGATGTTTTAGGAAAGACATTGTGAAATCGGTATGTGGTAGGTTTCCTATTCTAAAAGTATCTGAAGAGGATGTTTTGCTTATTTTTACTTAGATCTTTTAAAACCTTCAATCTCAGTCTTGATTTAAATATATACAGTTCTAAATACAGTGTTGCCTTCCTCTTGGCATCTTAAAATAGGTTTAACGTTCAGAATAAGCTTGTAGCATTTTATTGTTTAAATCCAAAAATCTATTCTAGTAACTTTAAAAAAAATAGAGAAAAATTGCATTTTATGGTGTACAGGAATTAAGGTTGTGGATGAGGTCATATCAAGTGGAGAGTAAGTACATCTTTTCAGAAGGGCAATAGGAAATGCTGGCATTCGGCAGGGCACAATAGTTCCTGAAAGTTCCAGAAGCTGTGTTGCTAAACTTGATTTATATGGGCAGGTTCTGTAACCCATCGCTCCATTTCTCATAGGCTCCTTTCTTATTCCTGTAGTTACACTTACTGTATACAAAAGTGATTTTCATTTTTGCCAGAAAAAGAACAAATGGTCTTCAAATGTTGGCTATACTATTGTAGATTTGGCTGCTAGGCTATGTGTCAGTCTTTTAAAAAAAACAATATATATGATCCTTCCTATTTTTAGAGTGGGACATCCATGTATTTTGTATGTTATGTGCAAATGACCTGAAGCCAGCTTTTTTCCCCCTTTTATGAATTCTTAAATGTTCTTTGTTTTCACATTGCTGTCCATATCCTGATTAGAGACACTATGCTTCTTCACTTAAAGTGAGTCTTTATTTTGGCTCAGTGGAAATAAATTTCATGAATTAGTACGAGGGAGGATATTTGGGTAGAATTTGGAGGAGAGAACTATAAAAGTGAAGACTTGTTTCTGAGGGAGAAAACCAGATATATTTTGCTTCTGTGCCATTTTCTGATAGTGCATAGACCCGGAGAGACATCTGTGGCTGTGGACGGAGTTGTACAGTGTTTTGGCCTAAGAAAGGAAACAAGGAAAAAGAAAGGCTTTTAAAGGCATGGAGTTTATTAAAATATATGCAAAAACTTAGCTTGAAGATTTTATTAATATCTGTATAGTATTTGCTTATGATTATTCGTATACATTTCAAAAACTAATTTTCAAAAAACTGCTTACAGAAAATTTTAACTTTTAATTGCCATTTCATTTAGCATTTCTTTGGTATTTTCCTGATTGAACCCATGTCTGATATGAATTTGTGGGTATAAATTGTTATTGTAAAAAGTTTTGTATTACAAAACAGACATTTCAAAATGGAACTGTTTCTTATTGTAACTTAATTTTGAGAAAAGTAAAAGTATTTGATAAAAGAAATTTCTAAGTCATTTGTGTTTGAGTGACAAAAATGTGAAAAATTTTAACAAAGGCTCATTCTTAATGTTGATTCTCAAGCCAACTTTTTACTAATGTTCAGAGTTAAGTGAAGAAAATATGTGTTTTTTAGTTTGAAAGCAGAAAAGTGAATGTCAAGCTTCAGGGCAAAGAATCTTTGGGGTACAAGAGGCGCTAGAATGGTGCTCAGAAGTGGAGTGATGGGGATTAAGAAAACAGTCTCCTTTCTAGTTAGACTCGTAAGTTACCTGCTACTGAAGGTTTGTGTTCTGTTAGTATGAAGAGGATTTCGAAGAACAGGTATTTCTTACTGCCTGTTGTCATTCCCTTGTTCTCTTTTTGTTTTTGCAAAGACAATACCAATTCATATCATTTGTGATTGCCATTTTGCTCTTAATTACTGGTAGATCAGCTGTAATGAAGTCATTGCTGGTGAAGTGACCTGACAGGAGGTGTTTGTTTAATTAGTGGGATATTACTTATGTAATCCACTGACATTCCTTGTGTGTTTTGGGGGAGAGAGTTAAATTGATTAGACGCTTGCTTAGCTGTAGCTCTAAGGCAGTCGCTGACAGTTCTCCAGATGGCTTTCAGGAGACTGAGGCTTCTGTGTTCTGTGGTTTCAGTACACCTCTGGGAGCCTCGCTGGATGAGCAAAGCGGCAGTACACCGAAGGGTAAGAGAGAGTTGCATTTCCAGATCTTTTTTACAAGGGTCCTCTTTCATTTGTCCTCTGGGTGAAAATGTATTATATGAATCATAAAAGTGATGTTCATGTTTATAATCTATGCTCTTCTGCGATAGATACCCAAAGGGAAAGAAATTTTGCCATAAACTGTAAAACAGTGATGAATTTACACAAATTACCAAACCTTGGCATCTTGTAAATCTTATGTTTTTATTGCCAAGTTAGATAACATAAAGGCCAATTAAATATAGATATATGATAGGTTTAAGGAAAATATGTATTGTATCGCATGAACTAGGTCAACTTCAGTGCAGCATTTCTTTGCTTACATTAACTGAAAATGCCACACCTGAAATTTTACCACCTATGTAAGATAGAACTCTGAAGTTCAAAGTACAACAAGAATGTGCAGGTAGTGGCAAGGCATATAAAAAGCATTTACAGCATTAGGGAAATCTAGCTGGAGCACCTGGTTTAATGGGGTGGGGAGAAATGCTTGCTCCAGGTTCTGATTTTCTATGAAACTCTTGGGTAAGATGTCTTATCTAATGAAACATCTTCAGAGGCATATAGTTATAAAATAGCCTGTAGACCTGACTTCTGAGTATTTTACCTGGACGCAAACATGATTTCTTCATGATAAAAGCTTATGCTTGCTTTTTTTTTTCCAGCTTTAATTGAGTTTATTGGTACATTTTAGGGATACAGTACAGTTACATTCATTGTTGGGATCTTGTAACTCTACATGACAAGTCTTGGTTCTCATTTTTTCCCCCTACCCCTGTCCTCCTTTCACCCCCTCCTCCCCTCCTCATCTACAAACACTTTATTTCCATCTTTTCATTGCATTTAGGTCCAAAACATTTTCCTGTATCTTATAAAATACTTTGCTTGCTCACTTTGTTTGCACTAAAACAATGATTTTCATGTGGAGGAAGAGCAGGGTGAATTTTCTCAATATTAATATTTCAGGTGTGCTTGTGAGAAATGGAGGAAGTTTTGAAGATGATTTGTCATTGGGAGCTGAAGGTATGTTTGTTTGGAAGAACTATGTTTTCGGGTAGTTTAAAATTTAAAAAAAGGGGGGGGATTGAGTGCTTTTAGGTTTGTGATCCTAAGAGCTAAATTTAAAGATTTTGAAAATTGCTCACATTTCACAGTACTTTCCTTTTATAGTATATGTTAATAATGTCATCCTAGCCTGCAGGATCCTGGAGGGGTGGCTCTGAAACACCACTGTGAAATGTCTTTATCTATGACTTCTCTGGACTTGAATGGTTGAAAGAACTGTTTGTGGCAGACTGTGGTGATCTGGACGGAGAGGAGAGCTCTCCAGAAGGAGGAAGGAAACTTAAATATTTATGTATAAGAAAACTAACGTGAAGCTTATTTTTAGTGTGGACTTAAGTCGTATCTGCAGCTGTAGCTTATCTTTCTCTTTACATTTAAGTGTCTCCTTTTTCTTGGTTTTTCAGAAGGTTAAAGGACAAAAATAAAATAACAGTGGAGTTTAGAAATTACTTTGCTGGCGTCTCTTCCATACAACATTAAAAAAGTGCTTTTAAAAAGTGTACACTGTTTTAAATTGTCTCAGGTTATGTAACATTTTCCTGTGGGTTCATAGTAAAACTTCCCACTATGTATGTAAACTTGAGAATTTATTATTTTGCTGGTATTTTCAAAGGTATTTTATAGCTCATTTGTGTTTTGTTTTGTTTTTTTCAAATTGAAAAGGTTAATGGTGGCTGTTTGGCTTGGTTGTTAATATGTGCTTTCTCTCAAAAATGAATTTTTTAAATGTTTGCAAATTACAAACAATGAATTTATACACTTAATTTAGTATCCTTGATATTTTTCTGCTTTCAATGTGCAAGATAAATTAATTCTTTATTACCTTCTAACATTGAATAGTTTAGAAAACTTGAATTACTGTTAGTATATTTTCAAAGAATATACTGCGTTAAGAACATTAAGAGCACAGTCAGTACACTGGAAACCATGGCCCACCCCATACTAACATGCATTTTAGTATTATTTTAGATAGCACTTTTGAGATCTGCCTTGGTAGTTTCATAGTATTGAATGATTTTATTGAAAACCAGAAACAAATAAGGAGTCCCATAAGAGGCTGAAACAATTAGTTGTTTTGCTGAAAATTATTTCAAGGCTTTTTTCATGACTTGAGTAAATATTTACTAAATGCTGTATGTTAGGAACCATAGATGGATGTGCAAAGATACAAAAAGATGTCATGATCTTGCAGGTCAAAAATGAAAAAAATAAGCGAAAATGGATATGTTTATAATTAATCTTATTCTTTATATTTGCCTGTAAAGCTTAAAAGTAGTAAATTTAACTCTCAACATTAACATTTGCTTTGACCTTGTTAATCTAGGAAAAAGTTGAAAGACAATTTTTAAAGGAAAATGTATGTTGAAATAGTAGAAGTTTTCAAGTTATATGCATGAAAAATGGGTTGTAATCATAAACATCAGAAGTAGATGGATACTGTTGCTACATTAATGCTTTTTTTGCTCTTACTATAGTCCTCATAGATTTTTAAATTTAATAATACTGTATATACCATAGTATGCTGCTTATATTTCTTGATACTGCTTCTAACCTGCTAAATTTAATTAACCATAGTTCTTTTTAAGTACTCAAGTGGAAGTAGTAGTTTTATGTTGCCAAAAAATGAAAATAGACTTTAAAAGCTGTTGCTACTGTTCTTATTGATCTGTATTAATGATGTGGGTTTAATGAGCCAAGACAAGACTTTGGCATACAAGGCATTTAGCTGAACTATAATGGGCAGCTTATTTTTTGATAATTGTTTCATTGTAGTTATAGTCCTTCTAATAACTCTGCTCTACATTTATTTTATTTTTACCTGTAGCTAACCACCTCCATGAAAGTAATGCTCAAATTGAAAACTGGTACGTAGTGTTTTGTTCTCTTCCTTTTTTAAAATTAAGAACACCAAGTAGAAATAAAGCTTTATATATTGTTTTTATAGCAATAATATCTTGGCCAAAGAGAGAAGACTCCAGTTTCATCAGAAAGGGAGAAGTATGAATTCTACTGGCTCTGGGAAAAGTAGTGGGACAGTCTCAAGGTAACTTGCTCTGAAGTTATGGTGGGATGGCATTGTATTTTACTGATATGCTTGTCATTTTTTTAGTCTTAGATTTGACTTTGATAGTATGCAGTCAGAGGGAATCTAATGTGTTTTCTGGGCAAGCATAACTGATGGGAGCGTCTTTAAAAAATTAGATTAACTAAAAAATAACAGATATGTTTATAATGCTGCTAGAATCCACTAACGGACATCTGGAGTCCTATCAACAACCAGAGAGAGAAAATTAGTAAAAGAGTATCTTCTGCTTGAAGAGAACTAAAGTCCCCCATTGTACTAGGGATTCAAGTTAACTCTGACCTAAAAATTAGAATAAACTTTCTGATTTAAAGCTTGATATTTCAGAATATTTTTTAATACATTAAACAAAAGATCTTTAAAATATATGTTAAAATAAGCCAACACATGGGCCTATGTGACTAATTTAAACTACTATAGTATTGCAGTCTGACCTTTATCTTTATCTGAAACAGACTGAAGTGTCCTGTACAGATTGATTCCATCTGTAACTTTCCTACTCATTGAGCTTAGAAATCGTAGATTATTGGTTGGGAAGGGATAAGACATATTTAATTCCTAAAAGAATCATGGCGAGGAGTTTCCTATACCTTTCCTCACATTTCTCCTCCTTCCTGGATGGGAGTGGTGAGACAGGACTTGAAAGTAGGTTCCTCTCTCCTTTTCTAAGATCAGGTTGTTAACTTTATTGCTCTCTTAAGACAAAGATAGCAAGAAAGCTCATTTTGCAGCATGCTAGTTAGTACCAGACTTTACAAACTTAGTGTATTTTTCCTTTTTATTTCTTCTTTAATCTGCTTTTCTTATTCTGCCTCATCTGTCCTTCAATTATTTTAAACTGCTTTACTGGAAAACTCTTAAAATGAGAGGAAAAAAAAAAAAGGTGAGGAACTCCTTAGAGTGTACTCTTAGGGGTCAGCTCTTTTTTCCAATACTAGCAGCCTCAAAAGTGGATCCCTTCTAAAGGGTATATATATTCCATTAATGCAGAAGATATTGAAATAAATAATAATTTAGAGAACAAAAGCTGAGAAGATTTTATCATAGGAAAAGCAAGAATACGTTTAGTCCATAATGTATCGACTTTAAATTTACTTTATATCTTACTATATCTTTGTTTTCTTTTTATAGTGTTTCAGAATTGTTGGAACTTTATGAGGAAGATCCTGAAGAAATTCTTTATAATCTTGGATTTGGACGAGATGAACCCGATATTGCTTCTAAAATTCCTTCCAGATTTTTTAATTCATCGTCATTTGCCAGAGGAATAGATATTAAAGTATTTTTGAGTGCTCAAATGCAGCGTATGGAAGTAGAGAACCCAAATTATGCTTTAACAAGTAAGGTTTTTAATTGTGAGCACATTATTTTTAAAATGATAGTATCTATAGTAAGGTGGTCTCATTTTTAAGGCCTTATTGATTTCAGGAATAGCACTGGAGCATTAATAAGTGATGTTAATTAATACAATAGCTATGTTTAACACAGTACCTATTCTGAATTTTTATTCTATTTAAAGAGGTTAATATCTGTTCTTCTCCCAAATTACTGACTCTTTTAAGTGTTATCATAACTTGTGAAGCCTTATACTTATCTCCACATTGCATTTATTCAGTATGGAGTGGGGCCTTAATAATATATGAAGTCAGTTCATTTTATGTATTTTACTATAAATCTAAAATAGCATGGCCAATTGTAACGTTTTTATTGATATTGTATCTTTGCTTATCTTTTAACTGTTGACTAAGGGTTCAAAAAATAGATTTTTTTTGGTTTTTCATGGATCCTTTTTTAAAGAGCTCTGTAAATCCCTTCGGTATATAAAATACTTATGTACTTTTTTTAGTGAAGCACTTAGCAGAGCCTTAGTCAAGTTCACGACCTTAGTACAAGTCACAGCTGTCCTTTAATAGCTAGTTCTATTTTGCTAAGTATTGTCATCATGCTTTGTGCTTTGGGCTTTTTTGGGGCGGGGATGAATTCTAAGGTTTAGAGTAAAAATTTTCCTTCTTCCCCGGGTGTGGTGATGCACGCCTGTAATCCCATCACTTGGGAGGCTGAGGCAGGAGGATCGCTGTGAGTTTGAGACCAGCCTGGGCTACAGAGTTCCAGGTCAGTCTCAACTACATAGTGAGACCCTGTCTCAAAAAACAAAAACAAAACAAAAACAAAAACAAACACATTTTCCTTCCTCTTCCCCACCTATTGAATATACACAGGATAAAGTGTTAGATTACTAAGAAATATGTGATTTTAGTAGAAGTCTAAACAGTATAGGCTTCATGTATGTGTATTTGTAAACATAAGTATACATACATACAAATTGATATTTCTTTTATTTTCTGTATGTAGGCCGTTTTCGTCAAATTGAAGTGCTTACTACTGTGGCCAATGCATTTTCTTCCTTATACTCTCAAGTCTCTGGGACTCCCCTGCAGAGAATTGGAAGTTTGTCCTCAGTGGCCTCTACCAAGGAGACGACCGATGCGCCTCCACCTTTAACCCGAAGTAACACTGCAAATCGTTTAATGAAAACACTATCAAAACTAAACTTATGTGTTGATAAAACAGAGAAAGGAGAAGGTAGTAGTACTTCCCCTGCAACTGAAAAAGGAAAGATTCTCAATGTTTCACTAATGGAAGAAAGCAATAAAAATGATCAAAAGTCTCAAAAGATTTTAAAGAAGAAGGACTCATCTTCTGTGTTGGCTACAGTTAAAGAAGAAGTATCGGGTGGTTCATCTTCTGCTACAGAGAGTGCTGACCCTGGCAAGCTTTCGGATGAAGCAAACAGTAATTTTATCCAAGAAAGTGATAGTGAGCAAAGTAAAGAAACTCAAAATCGTGAGAGTAACCTACAGGAGGAGTCTGGCATTATAGAACCTGTTTTAGGTAGTGATTTCAATGTGTCCAACCAAGGGGAGCTGGAAAGCAATAGTGATCTGAAACACATCCCTGTGTCCACACCTGAGAAAGAACCTTGTGCACCATTGACCATCCCTTCCATAAGGAATATCATGACCCAACAGAAGGACTCCTTCGAAATGGAAGAGGTAGGCAAAAATTTACTGAGGCCAGGTTTAAGTAGAGAGATAGGGAAAACAATCCTCAAAATATTTATGAATGAGAGTTAGCTGATAGTTTCGTATTAGAAAAGTACATCTTAAGACTTCGTAGATGTATGTTTCACAAACCAAGAATTCTCCCAAAGCTGTGTGCTGTTTTGAGGCAGTGGGACAACTCCTCAGTCCCTCCAGCTCCTATGCCACCCACCACCTGATACCTGACCTATAACCCTTTTTCTCTCTCACGTGTTAGATTTTGATGCCAAGAAAACCCTGAGAGAGCACATTCAAATTCAAATCAGTATTGCATAATAGTTAAAAACATAGGCTTTGCAATCAAAGGGTTTTGTGTTCAGTCTCTCCCACTGAAGTACTGTGTCTCCAGGGAGCTTTTCGTAGGGCATCTTGGTGGTAAGAATGAGGGTAAAGAATGGTTGGGGATAGATGTTGGTGAAGATACTGTGTACCTGGAAGGGAGGGCAGGGAGCCCAAGAAGGGGCTTTGAGAGGCCACTAACTAGGGTTTCTGCAAGTACAGAGACCAACATTTGATGACTCTTTATTTTTACCCACTGGTATTTCTACTAGTTAACATACATTTTAAATTGTGCAAGATACCTAGAGGTTTAGATAAAACTCCTTTTTTGTTGTGGTGGTTTTTTGTTTGTTTGTTTTTCCTGTGTTAGGGATTGAATCCAGGACCCGGGGATCTGTGCTACGCCTGTTTTTATTTATTACTGGAGATGGCCTCACCAGGTTCCCCAGGCTGGCCTTAAACTTGAAATTCTTCTTGCCTCAGCCTCCTGAGTACAGCGGTGACAGGAGTGCATCAGCCCACCTGTTACAAAATTCCTTTTGAATTGTAGTAACTGACTCTCCTTTGGAGCCTTATAGCCCAGGGCAGGAAACTAAAGCTGATCAGGCATGCCCTGTGGAAGGCAGTGCACAATGCACTTGGCCCTTGAAATGCTGTCTCTCAAGCTGGGAGATAGGCAGTGGTGGTCTCATAAGGAAACTGAGGCATATGTGTGTTAGTGAAAATTTGTGGCTGTAAATTATATAGTCATGTGGAGTTTTCCTTTTTGAAAATGTTTGAAAGATTACCTGCATAATAATTAACAGTTTTAGAATCATATGTGCTTGTTATTTTAGAAAAGTGAAAAGTGGGATAATGGATTATGCTCATAAATACCCTCTTAGATGATTGTGTCTCATGTTAGTGAAGCATTTTCACTTATACAAATTCAAGTGCTGATACAGCTGTTTTATTTTGGGGGGTCTTTGAATATATTTTTAGGACTTGTGGCTAAAAAGGAAGCAGAAGCTCTGAAATATTTTACATTTTTGTAAGCTTTTTCATTTATTCCTTCAGGTATTTTATGTTTCTGTTTCTTTAATCTCTAGCATAATTTCTTATTACACTGAGTAAAATGGCTAATGACTGCATTAAAACCTTTTTTTTAAATTTCACTGATTCCTATTTGACTTTGTAGTTTAGATTTGTCATCTAAACTTTCTAACTCCTGTAATTAAAGTGCAAGCTCTTGCTTTACATTAGAGCCCCTCTTCTATAATAATAATTTGATATGACAATCAGTTTCCTCCCAGTAAAAGAAGAATATAAGAATCTATATATACTATATTTATCAGAAATCTAATGCTGGTAACAGATGGGACAGTATTCTTACGTGTGTATTTGCAAATAAGTCAAAGCAGTTCTTTTTATTTCTAGAATTTTGGCTTTAAGCTACAGTGTGTGTTTATTCTTTTAAATTTTTAAGATTGCATACATAAAAGACTTTAAGCATTTATAATGTGCAAGATGCACTTTGATGGCAAATTAATTTTTATTGGTGATAGACTGAATATTTTTACTCCCTCTACTGGCAAAAACATTTCATGAAAAAGTGATGTGGACAGTGTTTGAAATACAAGGTTGCTTGCATTGGTGATTGAAGAATAAGGGAAGCTTTTTGTTTAAAAAAATAATGTTGATCAACCATAGCTGCATTTTAAATAGGAAGAGTTTTAAGGATAATGAATTCTTGTTTTTCAAATATATTTAAAATACAGATTTAAAAAAAAAATCCTAGAATTGTGTTTTTATCCCTTTGGGAAGTTTAAAGAAAGCTTGTAGAACAATGGATAAAGAGGGGAAATATGTGTTATTTTAATTTCCTCTTAAGCATGATTTGAATCATACCAACAGATGAGAACAATATCATTGAAGCAGACTTTTAGATCCTATTCAGAGTACCGTGTTACAGTTTTTCTTTTGGATCCCCTTTTAGTTGAGGTTTGATTCCTGTTGTGAATTTACTTCCTTTACAAACAAGGAGTAAGTATATGTTAGAGCCTACTTTCTCTCAGCCAGTTTTCAAACTGAGTATCTGAACACTGGCTGCCCTGGGATGTCAGGACAGAGCAGGCCGGGCTCTGTCCAGGCAGCTGCCTGCTGTGCCCCGATCCAAGGTAAGACTTGACGGTGTCCAGGACCAGAGAGAGGAAACACTTCAATGTGAGGGGCCTGATTAGATGGCCAGACTGATCGAGGCCTAGGAGAATTGAAATGGCTATTTCTTTTGTTAAAAAAAGAAAAGAAGGACAGATTACTGTATTTCTAATTAAAAGTCAACTTGCCTTATAAGAAGGGTTTTAGAATGTTTTCATTGTATTTAAAAGTTTCAAAGTCTTACTTTTGAGTTTTCTATTTTCTGTTTTTGTTTTTTAGAGACTTTTCTGATTCTTAGTGACTTGAATGTATAGTTCTTACATTTTCTCTGATTGTTTTAACTACATCATGGTAACTCTCCAAAGTCATAGAGTAGTAGTAATATGAATGATTGCTGTTAACTTTATCTGTGATGAACATCTCAGTTTTTGATAATAAGCAACGGTTCATCCCTTAGATGTAAAGGGAAAACTTATGCTTGCTTGTTTGAGGAAGGAGAACTTTAATCTGTGTATTTCTGAAACAATGTTGTGTCGTCTTCTTACTCTGCAAATGAACTTTCATTTAAATATAATCATCATTGAATATGTACACAAACTTAAAAAAATACTGAAGTTTTAGAAACTTTTTAATCTTGTCTTTATACTCATTGCTAGTTTTACTGTTATACCTTACTATGTACTGTTAAGTCTTGGGATTTTTTTTCCCCATTATATCTATTGTTCTGAGTTAAGATAATCCAAAATCAAACAGATAATCCAAAACCAATCAGATATTTTACAAATAGTTGTTATTTTGGTCTTCCAAATTTAACTGTGTGTTTTTGAAGACAAGAATGTAAAGTCTAACATGTCTGTTTAGATCTGTTGCTTCAAAGCCTGTAATCACTGAATTTTGATATTTGTTATTTATTTAAAATACATTAACTTTTTAAAAAAGTATTTACCTGGTAGTAAAAATAAATTGTGTGTGTATAAAACTGGGAAGCTTTCATTGGAATTAAACTTTGTAAGTAATCATAGAATTATAGATGAGCACAGAAAGGAATCTTTGAATTCATTTTCCAGTTTTTTCCTCTACAAGTGAGAAATCTCCCCACTCCTTAGTATTTAATGCTACTTTATAGCAGTGACTCTCCTAAAGTCCTGTGAGGTAATTTTCATCTTTATTTTACCATAGGGAAAACTGAGATGTTTATCACAGATAATTATCACAAGCCATTTACCAGTTAATGGAGTGAATAAGATTTGAATTCCAGTCTTTCTATAGACCACCTACATAGAAGTACAACGTAGAGCTAATTTGCTACATAGGTTGATTGGTTGGTATGTAGACATTGGACTCAGTGTCAAGGTACCAGATTATGCAGCTCAGTACAACTTCTCTTAAAAATAATGCTTACTTTTGAAGTTTTTCTAAATTAAAAATTTAACAGAATTACAATATTTAAAACTCTTTTTGACTTTTTTTCAAAAAGAGCTACATATGTCCTCAACTACAGTAGAAAGTTTGAATTAGAACACCCATATGCTGCTGGTCTGTGGACACAGTGCAGTAATATTGTGCCCAGGAAATGCACCTAAGTCAAGATTGACTTGACAGCTGTTTAGTAACCAAAGTAAATGCCTGTCATGTTAGGCAAGGCATTGATTCAGAAAGCTGTGGTTTTTGCAGAAACCCAAATGTGTGGGTGATACTTAAACTGCTTTTCTACTTCTTTGAATCCCAAATATGGAGAACAAGGATTTTATCATTTTGGTTCAGTAGGATTTTTTTCTTGTTTAGTTTTGATTTGTTTCAAGCTTAAGTGGAGATTAAACTGTATGTTGAGTACTTATTGATTATCACTAGGGTCAGTTACATTTGGTCCTCCTCTGTAATTCATTAAAAGTCCCTGGTAGCAAATGACCAGAGTCTCACTGAGTATTGGAACACTGAACGGGGAGAGTCCCGACTGACCCAGTGTGAGTATGTCCTCATTCTCTGAAGTGTGCACATCTTGAATTGGACTGCTTGCTTTTACACATTTTGACTACTAATAAAATATAATAAGCTGAGAAATTCACCCTGTCACTAGCTTGTCTGTCTTCAACAATTGCATACTATAATTTTGCTAAGAGACAATAATAATCAGCCATTAGTAGCTCTATCAGTAAAATTAGACTCTTAGATTTTTTTTTAAAGTGGTCCTTTCTTGCTCTTAATGAGGGACTTAGTAATTAAAGATGAAAGAACTGATTTTTTTTCTGCCTAGAATAGATTTTTTTAAAGTGGTCCTTTCTTGCTCTTAATGAGGGACTTAGTAATTAAAGATGAAAGAACTGATTTTTTTTCTGCCTAGAGTAACATTTTATGGTTTGTTTATCTCTTTTTGCAGCGATGGAGATTAAGTTAAGGTCTCATACTGAGCTACATCCCCAGCCCTTTCTAATTTTTTATAGTGAGATAAGGTCTTGCTTAGTTAACCAGGCTGGCCTTGAACTTGTTGATCCTGGGACAACAACAGACTTGAATTACCTTGTCAAGCAGGAGTAACATCTTGAATAATACACTGAGAAAACTCGTTCTTTAAAGTCATGTTATTTTGTAATTAATTTTATAAGTCCAAAGAAACAGAATTTTGTGATAACTCTGCATTTAAAAGTAAGAGATATAATTTGGTAGGTGTTAAGGTGGTATCCAAGCAGATTCCGTAGAACTAAGTAAGTCGTCTGGTTTCTCTTATATGGTATTGATGTGTTTGATATTTATTTTATAGAAAACTTTGAAGTAGGCTGAGCTTGAACAGTAGCTAATAATAGGCCTTTTGTTGAATATAAAAAGAAACACATTTTGTTCCTTCACAAAACAATGGTTTTCCTGTTGAACTTGTTTCTACTGCTTTGAGTACTATATTATTATTTTTAAATAATAACAAAGAATAGTAGAACTCACACACCTGTTACATTATGCAGTTGATGGCTTTAAATGACCACCAGGTTTTCAGTCTTAAAAAGATTCATACTCAGAAGAGTTTTTAAGTGAGGTAATAATGCCTAACTTTAAGCTTTTTTCATGCTGGCTTTTCTCTTACTCCTACGGAATGTTTCTTGAATAGACTTACAGCTCTAAATTTACCAGAATTCTCCTTTTACTCTTGCTCACCTTACTAGCATATTATTTACTATTCCAGTACTAATCATTACAGAGTGGAGTGATAGAAATTATACTTCCTCCTCCCCCAATATTTTAATCTTTATTCAAAATTAGTTATGCTGGAATAGAATATTTGCAGAATGTGAAAATTCCTAAATGATGTAGTTGTGCAGATAGAAAAAGATGCATAGAAAGACGACTTTTGTGGGTTTGAAGCCTTCCTTCTCTAGTATAATTTTTAGGAAAGATTTATAATTCAGACCATTCAGCATTGTAATTCTCTAATAAAACTTGCCTTTGTACTTAAAACTCCCAAAATATGCCTTAACAGAATATTTATGCCAGCAGTCTTACATACGGCTGACATTTGATACCTGAAAATGTGTGTGATTTTAGAAAATGTTACAATGGGGGCTTGATGTTCCATTTTCAAATGTGCAAGACTTGTAATCGCCTCTCCTGAGTGTCAGATCATAGCCTGCTGCTTAGAGTACTCGCATTCCTCTGGGGATAGAGAACTGACTTTTTAAAATCTAAAAGCAACATTTTAGAAAGTGTTCATGCATGCATTGTTATTTCTTTGCTCCCTACTAAATTGAGTGTTATGTTAACTAGAAACTAGATCAGAAAATTAAGTGGTAGGATATTCTAATTATTTTGAGATAAAACATCTCTAAATTTTATGCAATGCTTTGGTGCATTGTAGTCAGGTAGGGTTATAAAGAGATTATTCTTTGCCATTGACTATTTAGTGTAGTTTTTTTTTTTTTTCTTTTAGTTCTAACTACTTAAAATTCTTCTTTAGGTTCAGAGTACAGAGGGAGAAGCTCCTCATGTTCCAGCCGCTTACCAGCTAGGTCTCACCAAGTCCAAGAGAGGTAAGACAACTGATACTCATTGGTCCTGAAGCACATTCACCCGAGTGATGTCCGTGGTTTTGGAAAATTCAGTCAATGTGTGTAGCAGCGGTAATTGTAGAAAGCCTAGGGCACAGATGGGCTTTTCATAATTTTCTTACCTGATTTTTAAAATTTTCTTCAAGACTTTCATGCTCATTACACTAATATTAGTTTGCTTATCCTGTGATGACCTTTTTACACAATTTTATGTGCTCTATAAGTATTTTTCAGTTCTAAAGTCTGAATGGGAAGTGATCCAAAGAGTAACACAGTAGGGCAACTTTTTACATTGTTATGATTAAAAAAACATACTTGTGTTACCCATCATTATTCAAATATAACTCGTAAATATAATACATGAAATATACCTCTGGCAAAAATTACCGGTTTCTCAGCAATAGTTAAACCTAGTTAAATTCAAACAGTGAGTCAAAGGTGAGTGGCTGTAGATACCATGCTTTTCTTCACTTATTAATTATTGACCAGAGAACCTTTGAGTCCATTCCTTTCACTTTTAACTTGGCAACCAGAAAAATACGTCTGGTTTAAAGTTTATGAGGCTTTTGAGATTTAGAGAAAGGGAGAGAGGAAGAAGTTAAAATGACCACTGACGGATGGTAGGAGGACTGTTTATTTTTAAAACCTTGCACATACTGAACCATGCTTTAAAAAAAAAAAACAAAAAAAACCAAAGATTTATAAGTGTGTTCCTAGAAAAGGAAATTACATGTTTGTTCCCTCCTGATCTCTGAAATTACTTCATAAGAGACATTTGGATGTGAATTATTTTATTGCAGTAGGCAATAAAGAACAAGAGTATCACCCTCACTAGGTCATTGTAGTTCTAGATGGACACAAAATGAACTTTTCTACTTAATTTTTTTCCATTTATAAGTCCATAAGTATATGTGTATGTTTCTGAGCTCTAATGCAGGTTCGTGAAAATGAATGAGTTTTTGCTTTGGATATTAGTCAAAGAACATATTGGAAAAAGCAGCTTGCCACATGTCAAAGGAGGATTAAGGGCCAGTAAAATTAATTACAAGATGGAATGTGATTTGTATTTGGAGTTTTTCTTTCTTTCTTTTTGTTTTTTTTTTTGGTACTGGGGATCGAACTTGGGTCCTTGCCCTTGCGAGGCATGTGGTGGAACCACTGAGCTAACTCCCTGGACCTGGAGTTTTTTATCACATCTAGGACTCTTAATTTCTGAAGTCATAAGCAAAAATGTTAACAGTTTTGTGAACTAGGCTTTTATTAAAATATTTTTAAAATATATGTACATGAGAGGACAGAAAACAGCGATAGTAATTTAGTTATTTTGGATGGTAGCATATCAGTTCTGATAATGTGATATGTAAGTAACTTAGATTATTCATAATTGCAAATATAGAATCACTGGTAATTGGCTTCACAAATTTAGTAAAAGTGGATATAATATATTAGGAGGAGAACTTTTCAAGTTAAAATGATCTTAATCTCTAATCCAGGGTGGGATTTACCTAGAGAGAATTGGTAAATCAAGTCAGTGTCACAGGATATTTGGTAAGTACGTTCAGAGTAGCCTCAAATTTTTCTTGTTACAGAAGACATACAAGTTTTCTTTAGCAGAGAATATACAGATTTCTGGATTTTTTTTTTTTAATTTTACCAAACAACGTTTTCCGATTTGGGGTTTTCTCCCCTTTGCTGTAATGTTTCTTCTAATAGCGTAGATTTAAATTAGAAATGAAATCATATCTTTAGGACAGAGGTTTAATCCTTTTTAATCACACTCTTTTAACGGAGAACTCTGTTTACTGTAAAACAGACATGTCTGACTAAAGATCCTAGATTGTTCTTTATAGTTTACAAAACAGTTTCACTTGTTTCCTTCTACCTCCCGAGCTCCTAAAAGAGCTGTATTGCAATGGAAGAATGACTGATGTTCCATTTTGCAGAGGAGAGAATTTATTGCTTATGCTGGTGAAAAAGCACAGTAAAAACTTGCACCTAGGCCTGTGTGTTCCTTCTGATGCCCCACACAGCAGGGCTTGGAGCCTCATCAGACCTGCACTAGGACCTAACCTGCATGGGCGCTCACAGGGCTTGGCAACCTGAGTGGACAGGCCCAGGCTGTATGCTGCCACAGATACAGCAGCCCCAAGATCCCCAGGCTAAGCTGATCCCTCTGACTTCCGTGGGCCCTGCGGCACATGCCCTTTGCCCAAACCGATAGGCAGATAGGCATTTTCACTTTTAAATCGTTGAAAGGCCTGCTTAATTCTGTTGTTTTTAGGAGACAGTTATCATTGATTCACTGAGCAGTCATTTTTTACTCTCAGCTTGTTCTTACTTACTGGTATATGAGGAATAAATAAGGTTTCTGCCTTCAGAGCCTAACAATTTAGTTTTAAAAAGAGAAAAACAATTATTTGGTAATTTAAGGTGTTAATCATTTTTTAATTAATTAGTGCTGATGTTAACAGCTTATTGCGGTTCAGTATCATAATTCCAAGTTCACTTAAATATCTCAACATGGAGTAATTTTTATATTTCATATGTAGTTTTATTAATATGTAGTTTTGTTAATATTAATATTTCATTTTTTATATTATTTAGAATTACTCTAAATTTTTAATGGGGAAAGCAATCACTCTAGTCTATGAAACCGGAGGCTGCTGTGGAATATTTTAATATATTAAGTGAACTTTAATTGATTTTTGGCAGAGACCCCTGCAGTCAGGTTCCAGTCCCTGTCTTCCCAGTGTTTGACACAGGAAAAGATACACTGAGTTGGAACTAAGAGAAAACAGGGTGCCAGGACAACCAATGCCAGTGAAACCAACAAAGGTGCTACACAGTCCTAGGCACTGACTTTTATTGGCAGTCAGTTGGGGTAAAGCCAACATGTGGTTTCTATGGGAATTAATGTAAACAAGGCTCATAAAGGACAAGACAAAGCATTCTCAAATTGGGAACAGAATAGACGAACTATATGGTTGTAATTAAAATACTGTCCTTCTAGTCTGAAGGTTTAGTTGTGCGAACCGAATTTGGGTGCGAGTTACTCTGACCTCAGCACTTAGGCTTCAGCCAGACCCACTTCTCAAAACAAGCCAGTTGTGGGGTTAACTCTTCATAGCCTGCTTTGGGGATAATCAGTATTACAGCCTTCTGTGGATTTTGGATTTTTTTTGTTGGGGGGGATACTGGAGATCAAACTCAGGACCTTGCCACTTGCAAGGCAGGTGAGGTGCCACTGAGCTAAATGTCCAGCCCCCTTGATTTGGGATTTTATTCAGTCATATTATCTGGTGGTTTCTCCATATGGGTCAGATCTTAAGTGAACATGGATTTGATAGACACACTCCATTTAGCCCACTGCTTTCGAAGTTCTGTGGAACCCTACCTACAGTCTTGTGAGGGGCTGGCCCTTCAGCAAATGTAATAACTGCAAAGTCTCCAATTCTGGGACGTGTAGTGTGGATGGGGTGTGACCATGCTGGCTGTGTTTAGTTGACCTTTTTACTTACATTTTTTTAGGTTAATTAGAAATTGAGTTTGGTAGCAGAAAAATAAACAAGCATTTTTTAGGATTAACAATGTTATATATTCGTTGAATCTGAAATTGTTGGGAAAGAATTGTTTCATAACTTTAAAATATTTGCATCATTTGAAGCATCAGAGATGTTTTAGTTACGTGTGCATTTCCAGTTATTTAATTTATGACTTTATTTTTTTGGTAGTGGAGATTGAACCCCAAGCCTTTGTGCTGAGCTATATCCCCGTTTTTGACTTTTTGTTTTGAGACAGTCTCACTAAGTCAGTAACTTGTCCAGACAGGGTTCATACTTGCAATCCTTCTGCTTCAGCTTCCCAGACTGCTGGGGTAACAAACATAGCATGACGATACATGTTTTTGTACATTCTACACTTAAAATTCTAATTACACTTCCTAAATATCTTTTTTTTCTTTTCTTTTCTTTTTTCTTTTTGATACCGGGGATTGAACTTGGGTCCTTGTGCTTGCGAGGCAGGCGGCGGAACCACTGAGCTAAATCCCCAGCCTAATCTTCATATTTTTATGTAAGGTAAATGCAGTACTTTAGGACTCCTATGTTATTAGAGGCTATTGTTTATTTTTTATTTCAGGCAACTCTTAAGGATAAAGACATTAACTGGATTTATCAGTATGCAGTATAATTAGAGATTAATTATGACTGCTGAGTTTCTTGTAGAAAATCAGATTCAGTTTTTTGTGTGAAGTTGAGTTAATTCCTTGATTTGAAGCCACAATGTTATATAAGTAATGTGTACTTTTCTAAGGGGAAATCTGTGTCGTGTCATGTCTGTTGGGTATCATGTCTGTGATAAGATTACTGACACTGAACCCTCACCTAATGCTTTTGTATAACTGTACTTTTTCCTGGTAGATCATCTGTTGCGCACTGCAAGTCAGCATTCTGATAGCAGTGGTTTTGCTGAAGATTCTACAGACTGCCTTAATCATCTTCAGGTAAAGATTTCTTCTGTAATAGGAAATATGATTAATTTAATCATTTAAAGATGATTTTTCAGTAGCTATTTCAAGACTGAATCTGTCTAACCTTAATTTTCAAATGGCAATAAAACTTCTGGGATGTAGATGTTAGCTAAGTATTTATTTGACAGTGAACTGTAGATTTCACTAATTCATCTCTCTGACTGAATTTTTTTTAAAGCTGGTCTTAACTCTTTTGGATCACTGGTATACAGATTATTTTGATCATTGCCCTGCTAGGTCTGTTAATTTTCTTACTTGGTAATCATTGTGTTTCAGCATTTCATAGTAACTGCTTTGCTTATTTAAAACTTACATTAGGTGTGGATCCTAATAACTAACAACTTACATTAGTTTTCAGTGTTTACTAACATTTATGTTTGACTGTTAGGTAATTCAGGAAGCAGGCACAAATCTTCTTTGGGGTGCGGGTACTGGGATCAAACTGAGGACCTTGTGCTTAACCAGGCAGGTGCTGTGCCAGTGAGCTAAATCCCAGCTTACTGCAGATCTATTCTTGATGAGCTTATAGTTGTATATGGAGTTAAATAGTGTGCAGGGAAAGCCTTTACAACATCTTTAAGCAGATTTTGACAATGATTGGAATGACAAAAAAGCTTATAGAAACATGATGTTTAAAGGTTAAACAGACAAGAGATCTAAGGAAACTCAGAAAGAAAGTAGGCAGAAAAATTAGGAGATGGAGAGTCTTTGAGAAAGAAAATTGCAGATCTCAGTGAGAAGGTAAGGTTGTGTCTGGGGAAGGAGGCAGACGTAGGATAAAGCAGTTCTGATGGACTCAGCACACCTAGAGTGTGAATCTGTGATGAAGAAGAAAAGTTAGTGTTGCCTGTTCTTTCAAATGAGAATCATGGCCTTTTGTCTTTATAACATTAGCTGTTCAGCTATGGGAAGAGAGAGGGGAAAGAGGATATGAAAATGAATTTGATCCAGAACAACCTGAGATTAAATTGTGGCAAAATACTCTGGTCTTAGAATATGATGAGAAGCACAGGTATGTGAGGGGGGTGTCACTTCGTAAAAGAGCAGATTCCTTTCAGAATTGCCAGAAAGAGCAAAGGCATATAGGAAGCTTATAGGTGTTGGAGAAGAATGTTAAGAAATCTTTGTTCATTTTCTCTTTGAATTAGTGTTGTATGTTGGAAGAACAGGAGGAGGTGTTGGAAAGGAAACTTAGGGGAAGTAGTGAAGGTCTGAAATCATCTTTGTGAGAATTGAGGAGGCATTAGCTAATTAGGGGCAGTGAAAGCAATTCTGAGTAGCCCAGGCCACAGCTGAGGTGGGAGCCCACACAAGTACAGCTGCATCTTATCCACTTGGCCTTTGGCTAATGATACCTATTGCCTGTATGCTCATCTTCCCATCTGGTTTCTGTTCACAGGTCCAGGAGCCTTTGCAAGCCATGGGAAGTAGCGCTGATAGTTGTGACAGTGAGACGACAGTCACGTCGTTTGGTGAAGACCTTGTTACGCCAACAGCACAAGACCAGCCTTATTTTAATGAGTCAGAGGAAGAGTTGCCAAGCCCAGCAGCAGATGCTGACAAAAGAAAGCCGGATAGCCAGGATTTCCCTCAGTGCAGGCCTGAGGAGAGTGCAGGACATGAACCATCCTCCCATAGTCCGAGGGATCATGTGACTGAAGTCACTGAGGTGGAAGAAGGCTCATCTTCAGCACAGACATTGGAGCTGCTGAGGGAAGCAAGTGGTGAAAGTGATGCGGACAGAAGCAGTGAGTGTGAATTTCCTCAGTACACCACGCACCATATCCTGAAATCATTGGCTTTCATTGAAGCTAAATGCAGTGATCTAAGCTCTGAAAATACAAGTAGGCCTCCCTCTTCTGTGGACAGAGTTACTACAGCTTTGCAGAGAGCACAGATGAAGGTTTGCAGCCTGTCTAATCAAATAGTAGGGCGGAGCCTGATAAAATCAAAGGATCTGTTAAAACAGAGGTACTTACTTGCAAAAGCTGGCTATCCCCTAAGAAGGTCTCAGTCTTTACCAACCACCTTATTGAGCCCCGTAAGGGTTGTGTCCTCCGTCAACGTCCGGTTATCTCCTGGAAAAGAGACCAGGTGCAGCCCACCTTCCTTCACCTATAAATACACACCTGAAGAGCAGCAGGAATTGGAAAAAGGGGCAGCTGCACCTGACAGTCAGTGTTCAGTCAAATCCACCATTTTCATCTCTCCGGCATCCATGAAGAAGGATGAAGAGACATCCCCGAGTGAGGTGGCCCAGTTGGAGGAATGCCGTCGTGGAAGGACTCCTGTCTGTTCCCACCTTGCTCCACCGCCGATATCTCAGTCCACCTGCTCTCTTCACACTCTTCAGGAGTGGCAGGACAGGCCCCTGTGCGAGCACATGAGAACTCTGAGTACCCACAGTGTCCCCAACATCCCGGGGGCCGCCTGCTCTGCCTTCACATCCCCTCTCGGGTGTCCCTTCTCACACAGACATGCTGCCTACCCATACCGAGTGTACTCTGGGAACCCTCCTTCTGCCATAGAAATGCAGTTGCGAAGAGTGTTGCATCATATTAGAAACTCGTTACAGAATCTTTCACAGGTAGGCGAAAGAATTGATCTTTTTAAAGCTTTTTTAATTTTATTACCCTGGGCACCTTTTTAACTCACTGAAAAGCAAAGACCTTTCGGGCATAAACTATGTCAACTGTATTTTTTTCCAGGTTTATGCTGACCTATACCTTTCCTGCTGTGTCCTTCCCTATTTTATGGGAAAATCTGTAACTAACCCTGAACAAAGTTAATGTCTCTGCTCACAATCTCCCTCCCTTCTCAAAAGAAGGATTTTGCTCATTAGCCTCTCTTTTTCAATCTTCCATCCAGTGTCTTTGCCTTACTCTAAAAGCAGTTAAGTCATCCTGTTTAAAAAACAAAAACAAAACTCCCCTCTCAACAGTTCCCTTTTTTCCTTTTTCCTGCCATCTGATGTGTTGACCACCTCTTCCTTTTCTAAGTTTTCGTCCTGTTGGCTTCAGTGGCACCGTATCCTCCTGGTTCTGCTCATAGCTCTCTGATTAAGCTTCCCCTTCACTTACTGACCTCTGATGCTATCTTTTAAATACAGATTTTATCCTTGGGATAGTTGTCTCCCAGTGGTTTGCATTTTAACCAGAATGTGGGTGATTCTTCCTCCTTAGGAAACGTAGTTTTAACTATGCCTGGATGTTCTCGTTGTCACTGCAGTTGTGAATTACTGGGGATTTCCAGAGCCTGTCCACCTACACCTCATGTACCTTTCTGGGCCAGCTGTTCTGCACACATTGTGCGTCCTCTTGGATGACCCATTGCTAATGAATCTCCCCTTCCTACCTCAAGCCACAGACAGATGCTTTCTACAGTCTCCTTGCTTAGCTGTGTGCTCTGCCACCCTGGACTTTGTGGGGCTCTGGGAGTTGTGTGCTTTTGGCAGTCTGAACATGGCATTTGTGTTTTTTTATTTTTCCTGGGGTTCCCTGCTCTTTTCTTTTTTTGTGTGACCAAGTGCTGCTTCCTGTTTGGGCTCAGCTCAAGTGTCACCACTGTTGGAAAAACTTAACTAATGTGCATTTTTGTTTTCATCTTAGCACCCTTGCTCCTCACTGTAATAATTTTTTAAAACCTTTCTTTCTTGTTATTCTGTGAGAACACTTAAGGATGGGGGGCTTTTACCTGCTTTGACTAAGATAGTGGTGTAGAGCAAGTGCCTGAATATCTAAGTGTGTGATGCTATTTGCTGCTCTCTGCAGCCATATCAGCAGTTACTGCAATCTCTTGACATTTGCAGTTTGGTCTATGATTTTGAATTTCACTTTGCTTCTATACTTTTTCAAGGCAAGAAGAACATCCTGTAAAACATAGATATGAACTTGATACATAGATTGACTCATACATACAACAGCTAAGAGTGCTAGGAAGCACTGGAGACTGATTTCTTTTGTTCCTATTTACATTATCAAAATTTTTGTTTAGTTTTGCCTCAGAGAAAAATACAGAGGCCTCAAATTCTGCCTTTTTAACAGTTTAGAAAATGTGGAATTAGTCACTTCGACATTGATTTTAACCTCTCCCACTTTGATTTGTTGAAGTCCCCTGTGATGAGAGGACCTGACCTCGCTGCTGCTCCGTACAGTACTCAGAAATCATCTGTTCTACCTCTTTACGAAGTAAGTTCCTACTTAAATCTTTGCATTGCAAAATAATTTGTTTGAGTTAGAAGTGTAATTTTGTTTTATTGCATTTGAGAATACTTTTCAGGAGCTTCAAGTAATGAGGCGGAGCCTGAATTTGTTTAGAACACAAATGATGGATTTAGAATTGGCGATGCTGCGTGAGCAAACATTGGTTTATCAACACATGACTGAGGAGGAAAGGTAGAAGTTCATTTTGTCTCAATATAACTCAAGTAATCTTTCAAAGAACCATTTTCAACTTATATTTAGGTCTCACTAAATACAACTTGTATTTAGTTCTCACTAAACTAGGTCTCACTTCTGCTGTGGGTCCTGTCTATGTGGTGAGCCATTGTATGTAAAAGTAGACATACGGAGTGTTCTCCTGACTTCCAGGTCTTCAGGAACTATTGCAGATAGTAGTTGTACCCTGCTAGGCAGTGTGCAGGTTAGGTGGGAGAGAGGAGAGAGAAATGAGACCGTTATCCTAGAGGTCACATCTGCAGTGCTCTTGTGGGCAGTATAAAACTTGGTGTATGGTGCCTTCAGTTAGCTTGTCATGATGATCAAAATGGTTGTGAATAAGAACTTGCAAACTACTCTTTTCGAACTTTGCACCTTTCCCTGTACTGGTAGATATGAAGTTGATCAGCTGCAGAGTCTAAGAAACTCGGTCCGAATGGAGCTGCAGGACCTGGAGCTGCAGCTGGAAGAGCGCCTGCTGGGCCTGGATGAGCAGCTGCAGGCGGTGCGGGTGCCTTCGCCCTTCAGTTCCTCTTTGCTGGTGAGCTGCCCAGGGCTGTCGGGAGTTTGTCATGGGTTTATGATGTTCCATGTAATTTAGGACAAGTCCCTTCATTTTAAACCGTTTACGTAAATGACATTAAAAGTATGAAAATGTTTAAGGAGCTTTTCCACACCTGTGTTAGGTACAAGTTGTGATCATTTCTTAAACATTTAACTTGTACATATTCTTGTATATTGAAAATTTTTGATAATCATTTTTTGATAGAAAAAAGTCAATAAAAGGTTTAAAGTTTTTGAAAGAAAAATTGTACGTGAATGTATAACTAATTTAAATTTGAATTGCTGCATGTGTGTAACTCCAAAGAACACAAATATATTCAGCGTTTTTGCCCTCTTTTGCATTTAAATAAATAATGTTCCCTTTAAACTTTTCCTTTATTTTGGTTTCCATTTTCTTCTCTTTAAGCTAATCCCCTCTGCCCCTGCTGGGAATCAAAATCAGAGTCTTGTGCATGCTGAGCACAGACCATGCTCTACCATTGAGCTGTGCTCCCCAGCGCCTTTTTCTTTGTTTTTTAATGGATAAAATGAGGTGTTTTGATAGAACACATGTGTACAACCAGGATAAGAAATAGCAATACTATTTGTCCTTATTTTATGCTACTTTTTATTCTAACATTGCTTTCTATAAAATTTTAACTTCAACATTGTTATTTTTGGCAGGGAGGTGTACTTGAGATTGAACCCAGGCCTTCACAATGACCTAAATCCCAGCCCATTTAAAAAATTTTTATTTTGGAACAGAGTCTCACTAAGTCGCCAGGGCTGAGCTCAAAGTTGCAATCTCCTGGCTTAGCTGCCTGTAGTGGTAGGATTACAGGCGTGGCCACTGTGCCGTCTTCACTGTGTTCTGGCTCTAGCCAGGATCTTTGAAGTTGTAGAATAGGCCGCTCAGAAATGTTTGTCAGTGGGAGCAGAGAGTGAACACACTGCCTGTGCCCCTTGTTTATTCTAAAACACTTGTTTTTGGGAGATGGTTATATACGGATATAAAGCCTCTGTCCTGCCTTTTCAGGGAATGTGCGGCAGTAGAAGCACTGATAACCTGTCCTGCCCTTCACTGAATGTCATGGAGCCGGTAAGCCTCTGCTTTGAAGCCACTGGAGGGTTGGGTACCACAGGATACCTCAAACACAACTTTTCTAATGTGGGCAAGATGCACATTTTTATCAAATACAGAATTTGATAAGTTAGCTAAAGGATTTAGAGGTTAGTTTGCCACTTCTGAAGTTCATTTCTATCTTAGGCCATTAGAAGGCAAGCTGAATTGCAGTTGTGATTTTTATCTTTATGCCCTAAAGGAAATAATACACCATGAAAAACATTTAATTTGTACTCCAAGTTCAGAAATTAGCTCTTATGGTTAGATCTCAGGTCATTTAAGTGGGATCTGTAATGTAATGATGACTCTTTGAACAAAAGTTTAATTTGTATTATATTTTAGGCAAATTGAGTCATTTGTGAGCAAAACATTGTAACTATTTTGTTTCTTATTCTCTTCCTTCGAGTAATTTGGACACCTGCATGGTAACAAATAACATTTCATCTCACTGTTTTGTAGTTATTCATTTTATTGCCTTGAGCTTGCTATGGGTTTAAATTTGGTGAGTTTGAAAATAAAATCAAGTAGTTACTAAGTTAATGAAATAGAATTAAGTGTGTCTTAAAAGTTAAGTGATTTTTTTTTTTTTTTGGCAGTACTTATAGCTATAGTTTAACCTTTAATTATCAGTCTTGGTTTCAAGAGAAGAATAACGGTTTTTCTCATCTTCAGGTGACTGAACTGATGCGGGAACAATCCTACCTGAAGTCTGAATTGGGTCTGGGACTTGGAGAAGTGGGATTTGAAATTCCCCCTGGAGAAAGTTCAGAGTCCGTTTTCTCCCAAGCCACGTCAGAGTCGTCTTCTGTGTGTTCTAGTCCCTCCCATCGCATCAGCAGAAGGACTGCAGTGCCTCCTGGTGACGCCAGGGGCAAACGCAAAGCCCAGTCAATGGCCAGAAAGAAAGTGTACCGAGCTTCAGTGGCCCTGACGCCTACTGCTCCTTCCAGAATAGGCTCTCTGCAGACACCGCCAGAACTGGAAAGTTCTGAGGAAGTTGGCACAGCTGAAGAAGGTGCACGGGTTGTAGGACCTCACTCTGACATGGAAGAAGAATGTGGAAAACTGTCAGCAATTCCAGCTGCTGAGGAAATGCAGAGAAATGTGGAGCAGGATGAGTTGCAGCAGGTCATACGAGAGGTGAGTCCAGTCTGTGCCTGTGTCACTTACATGGATGTAGGGTTAAAGGCAAACATCAGTTATTTCCAAGATACTCTTGGTTCACCATGTTCACTCAGTTCCAGGGAGCTTTCAGATTAACTTTCCGATTGTCTGTTAAGTTATGTGGGGAATGGCTTCCTTCAGGTTTAAGACAGTGTGAAATCATTGCAGTTTTCTGTATTTGCACTGGTGAGAGGGAATTTGTAGGGTTTGCAAGAGATAAACACATGACAAACTCTCTGGATCTTGTTTCCAGAAATGAGAGACTGTGATTTAGATCTCTTCTAGGTGTTATTTTGTTATTTCCACTGACATAAGAAATGATGTGATTTTAACAAGTTTAAAGAATTCGATCTGTTTGGTTTAGTGGGTGGAGAATGGTGGAATTTTTGAGTTGTCAGAGAATTGAAATTATTAAAATACAGAATGAAAAGAAAGTGTACCCTGGCTGAGGACAGCAGGAGAATCTGAAGCATTCACCACAGTTCAGGATTATTGCAGGGGCTGCAAATCACTGAGGTGGTCAATAGTCAGTGGTCAAAGGTAAATTGAGACACTTCATATGGTAACAGTTTTTAGCACTGAGTTCAGATAATGAGAAACATTATCTATTACAATGCAAAGCCCCCTAGTTACACTTGTGTGATGTTTATTCTCTTTTTGCTTTTCACATCACAGTGTCCTGGTTGTGAAAAATCAGTCCAGTACACAGTACATGAAATTTCTACATGTTCAGTATTCCTTTTGAATCCTGTTTTCTTGTCATAAGAATTCTCAAAAATGACGAGAAAGAACCAAAATTATCCATAGTTTTTCCAACAAAAGATACTGAAACCCCCAGTGAGAGATTCAATGAGAAAGGATCTGTAAAGCCAGGCATGGTGGCACACACCTATAAGCCCAGCAGTCAGAAGGCTGAGGCAAGAGGATTGCCATGCAGTACAAGGCCAGCCTGTACTGCGTAGTGAGACCTTGTATTAAAAGACAAAAAAAAAAAAAATGGATCTTTCATTTTCCATTATGTTTAAAAATTCACCGTAGAGGCTCAGGATGTACACTTTAGGTACAGAGCAGGCCCTGTATTCATTCTCCAGCACTGAACAACCCCTCCCCCCAAAAAGACTCATTTTAGAAGGATCTGAATATCCTGTGCAGAGTAAAAGGAAAATACCCGTAAGATGTGAAGTCATGGAGGTTAAGGATGATAAGATGATAGACAATAAAAAATTTCATAGAAAATAATTATCAGTACCTTAAAATTTGAGGTTTCAGATCATTTTTTTACCTTTTCTACCCATGTGGTGCTGGGGCATCGAACCCAGGGTCTTAAGCAAGTTAGGTGAGCGCTGTACCACTCTGTGTCCATCCCCACTAAAATTCTGGGTTTTTCAAGTTAAGGCTGTTCAACTTTTGAAACCTATGAAGATGTTCTAAAAGTCTGGAAAACTTTGAACCTTAATACATTTCTGGTCCCAAGCATTCAGACTTTCAGCCTCTAGTAAAGTATTCAAGAACTAGACCTTTAGGAATAGGAAAGATCAAAATGAGCCAGAGAAATTAGTGTTCCCACATTTTAAACTGTGTGTCCATATAATTAACAATATGGACCTAATGTATTTTAGGATCAATTTGTGGCATACAGCAGAATTCTAGCATTTTATGGGCCAAGAATGGTGGCAGTGGACCCAAATCTTCCCTTCATTGAGCTATTAATCTGAGTCTTGAGATTAGTTTGTAACTGTCAGGGGCCGTCATTATAGCTGCATCACAGTAGCTTGAGCGTTAGCTAAAAACTAAACACAGGGATTGTGGGGTGGCCCCATGGTAAGTGTACAAGACTGGCTTAGCATGTGCCAGGAAGGCTTGAGATTCAATTCACAGTTCCACTAGAAAAAAGAAAACCCAAATGCAGTTACTTTTTCTTGTGAACACATAGATGATATATATGTTCCTAAAAATCTGTGCTGTGCAAAACCATGCAGTGAAAATCATAGCGTTTCTGGGAAAAGTAGGATTAGAGGCATAGCACTGGAGACTTCAGTGACATTATGTACCATGCGCTAACCGGCTGCACCTTTGGAGTTCCTTTAGTGACACGAAAAGAGACAACAGAAACATATCAAAGTAGGGGCAGGGGTTATGCATTCTTAGTGGTTAAGATGCACACAAGTGCTACGATAAATATACTACATCACCTTTAAGACAACCTGAAATTTGCTTGTGGAATTGGGCTTTGGAAGTTTCGTGGCTTGTGAATTATGGTGAAGATGAGGAAGGATGGTGATCTGAAATCTGCCTGAAGTTTTCACAACAGCGATGGATAGGTAGCGCATCCACAGAGAATTAAGATAGCAGGTGGAGTTGAAGTTGTGTGTATTTTGGGAGCTGTGTTTCTAGGTTCAGCTTAATGCAGTTTTATGTGTTCAGCTTGAGATTCCTGTGGATGAAATTTCCCATACATAAGCATTGTTTTCATGACTTGAATCTACAACTAAAAGTGTATGTCTTAATTCTGCGTATTTGTTTGTCCTGCAAATGTTACTATTTTTGCAAGTTGTTGGATGTTGCACAAGCTACACCAGCCCCCTTGATCAGGATTGCCTGTGGTTATCTACATGCTTCATATCAGAGATCCAGTTTTTTTTGTTTGTGTTTTGTTTTTTTTTGTACTAGGGATCAAACTTGGATCCTTGCTCTTGCAAGCAGGCAGCAGAACCACTGAGCTAAATCCCTGGCCCACAGAGATCCAGTTTTTGAATAAAATTAAATAATTATTTTCTATATTTGTTGAGAAAATAGGTTTCAAGATAATTTTTTTTTTTTTTTTTTTTTTTTTGGTACCGGGGATTGAACTCGGGTCCTTGCGCTTACAAGGCAGGCCACCGAACCACTGAGCTAAATCCCCGGTCCTTCAAGATAATATTTTAGAAATGTGAAGATTTTTTTTCCTGTAACTTGCTTCAGTTTGAAAGTTTCTTGAAAACTTGACTTTATGCTGCTCATTAATGCATACTTGAGTCCTCATTTTTTTAATGGCCTGATAATGTGCTGGAAATAATTTCCTAGGAATAAAGTACTCATTTTAGAGCAGAACATTGATTCTTTGCCCAATAGGACATATCATAGAAAAAGTCATTTGGTCCTTAGCCCATTATACTACCATGGTTCTAGAGAATTAGTCATTCATAAGAACCTCCTATTCAGTGTGAAAGATTTTATACTTTACAGACATTTAAACTGGCATGTAAGGCAAAGCAGATGTGTAGAAAATTTTTCAGAATTCATTACTAAACCAGTCATTTAGCAACTACTTTGTTCAGAATTTGGCATAATTTGGAGGAAGTTAAGCTTAACATTTACTCTTTCTGGCTACAAAGAAGGGCTTACCAAGAAAAATACTATAGAGATCCAATAAGGCGTGAGAAGTAATTGATGTACTTAAGAAAATAAACTCTTTTGAGGTTCTATAAAAGCATACACTAATTGATAAATTAATACAGTGCTGGCTATAATTATAAAAAACTATATTAATACTGTCAGCTCAGTTAGTGGTTTTCTGTTAAAATTTTTGTTTACAAAATATTTAAAGCAGATTAGTCTTCATTTTGTTTATTTCCAATTGGTAATCTTTTTACTTAAATATACAAGGTACTAAATTCCACTTTTTAAAAACTTATTGTATTAGCTACCAAGAAAATTAAATTAGATTCAATCTTTCCAATAAGTCCTGAGCCACTGACCCCATTAACAAAGCTACTATTCAGAAAGGTAGGATTTAATCTCAGGGTGAACAGTTTTGCAGGCGAGGATTAAGCATGTTTGGCAGGCATTTCAGGGAAGTTTTCTTACTGCACCCAGGGTGAGTGAACATGATGATTTCTGCCTGTCTTTTGTTTCTGTCATTGCACCATATGTGAGGTTTTTCAAAGGAATGCGTTCAGTGTTTATAATGTGGTAGTATAGTAGAATTCCTCTGTGGAAGGAGAGCATTGGAACAAATTCATTCAAACAAATATTTAATACATCGAATGGGTAACTAAACTTTTGTCAGATTGAAGATATCCCTCTTCTGCCCAGATTATGTATGTTGTAGTAGGAGAGAAATACACTCTCTTAGAATTTACCCAAGTCATGGGTGATGTATGTGATCAGTGGCCTGACACTGTTTATACTTATTTTTTAAATGTATCCATGTATATAAATAAAAAGATAGCTTAATACGATGAATGAACATGTACCCACAGAAGCAGATACAACAGAAGTAAATGTTAGAGAGTAAACAGGGATGGCCATGTGTTTAGAAAGTTCCTGTGTGTTTGCTGAAGCCGCTAGACTTGGTTTATGCTTTTCAGAATTCTACCACGGTACATCTGGCATGATTTAAGTGTGTAGCTTGGTAGAAACACAGCTTCCCCTAGTTCCCGGGGAGACTCATGCAGATCCCTGTACAGAGTGGCTGCCGCAGTGATGCTCAGCCATGCAGTGGTGTGAACCAGGACCCGTGTGCTCAGCATGTGCTGTGCTGTAGCTTTCCTTCGGCCTACACTCCTTTGGGAAATTGTGCAGAAAAGTGATCTCATCTGTCCTAGAGTTTGCTCACTCCTAATGCTTCCAGCCTCTCAGAACTGCATAATCTGTCTCTGAATTATTGGAGGTATTTTGTCACTTGTGCTGCTAGTTCACCTATAGTGACTTGATTTTGTACTTTCTCTTCTTTGGGTCTCATAATATCTCTGTCACTTTTATGCACGCTCTCATTAATTCAAACCTTTTTTCCTCCAGAATTATTTAATTGTAACATAATACAAAGAAACTCCAATAAAACATAAAAAATGCTCTTCTATGAAAAATAAAACAAAATCCTGTGTATCATGATCTTAAAAGAAGGGCCAAAAAAGACTCCCTTATGAAGAAGAAACAAATAAAAGGACAAAACTTTTCAGTGAACAAAAGAAACTAGTAGTATAAATGAAACAAATTAGCATTTCAAATATTTTTGAAATAATAGAATAGATGATTTAGGGAATGATTTGAACTTGTCCCTCTTTCTGTTCCTATTTATCTTCCATTCCTACCCCCCCACCATCCTTCTCTCCTTCCCTAAGTCTCTATCTGTCTCTTTTTATTGAATACTTGGTTTATACTTGAATACATGGTAAGCAAGATCTTCTGCTTTCCCCACAGGGGCTCAGAGCCACCTTTCCACTTGACCACCTTCCTTCTACTCCTTAGGAGGACCTGGCTGTTCTGCATTCCTCCCCTCCCATGGTGCTGTAGATTTTTTTGTCTTTATGAAATTACTGTTATTTTCACAAACTACTGTATGACATTCTATAAGAATTTTTAATTTTTTTCCTCTTCTAGGCCATACTAATCTGTTTTCAAAGTTGATTGTCATGAATGAACTAATAAAATTATGGGTTTTTTTTTTAATAGTTTAAGACAGTATTTATTTTGTGTTCATCTAGATTTTAGATTTTAACATGCTTTACAATGGAGATTCTTTTTTTCCCCTTTGGAGATGGAATGTCAGTGTATTTCCCAGGATGGTTTTAAACTTTCGAGTTTAAGTGACCGGGTGCCTGCCTCAGCCTCTCATGTAGCTAAGTCTACAGGAGTGGGCCACCATGCTTGACTCCTAGAGAGTCCTTTGTTCTTTACACCAGTAATGTCTGTATTACCAGAAAAGTTTGTCATACATTTTTGCTGAGTAAAGAATGATTCTTGACTAGTTTCCTATCCCCTCTCGGTACCAGGGATTGAACCTAGGCCCTTGCACTGGCTCTGTGCTCAGCTCTTTTTATATTTTGCTTAGAGACAGTGTAGTCAAGGTGCTCAGGCTGCCCTTGAACTTGCCGTGCTGCTGTGTCAGCTTTCCAGGTAGCTGGGTTTATACGTGTGCGCCAGTGTGCCCAGCTAGTTTGTTTGGTTTTTTTTGCATAATGATATATAAATTGCCATATTTCATTGGTGGCAAGATTGGAAAGAGTACACTCATTGTCTTATAAATTTGCAGTGATTCTATTTTCATATATTGTGTTTGTGGATAAGATATTCTGGATTTCATGTTTGTATCAACATGCATGCATATATATTTTAAAAATGAATCTAAAGTGCTGTGAACTTCAAAAACTTGTAATGCTGTTTACAGTTTAAGAATACTGATAGGCATGTCAACGTACAAGATCCCAGTAATGAATGTAACTGTACTGTCTACCTTGAATGTACCAATAAATTAAATTAAAAAATACTGATAGAAAGTAAAATGAAAGCTTAGTCATTAAATATATAACAGTACAGGATGGTTGGTAACGGAGGAACATTGTATTTCTATGTATAACTATGTAGAAGTCTGCATTGTGTACCAGTTGTGCATCACAGATTAATACAGAGCCATTTTTGGAAAGACTTCATTGGAGGTGTGTTGGGATCTACTTAGAAACGTTTTAGGAAGATCAGACTGACAGGAAACTGGAAATGTACAATTTTTAAACCTGAGCAGAGTGTGTCTCAGGTGCTAATTTAGGAAGGCATTGTCAGTTTACTTCAGGAAATGCACATTTAGAGCCTTCACAAAAGGCTGTTTGGAGGCAATGCTATACCATTAGAGAGGAGAGGAACGGGTAGGCATATGTAGTATTTCAACATCTGGAGAAGAAACTTGTGATGTAATTGTCATTTCCCTGGTCTGCCTCCCTTCCCCAGCAATGAAACGAAATGTATCTCTTTATCTGAAGCCAAAGACAAGTGACAGACATGCCATGTCACTGAAGAAAATTATCTCCTCACATTCTAGGGATGTTTAAAGATGGTTTTCATGTTTTAAAATAAAATTTACTGAGTAATTTCCTCTTTCTATTTAAAATGTCCATGTTTGAGTAACATATAACTTCTTTAGATACTGCAGATATTTTGCTTTCGGTGGACAGAGGCAGCAAATAACCGTGCTAACCACCTTACACAGGCAGACATTAATGCAGAGCATGACTGAGCCTACCTTTAATCAGTTCTTCCAGATTATTTTGTTTCATGAAATAAATCATTCACTAGAAGCCTTTTAAATCTGTGAAATAATATTTTCTGATGCTGTCAGCCTAAGCATTGTGATGTTTAATCATGTGTCAGCAGTCAGTTATGCTGGCCGAGACCACGAGCTGGTCTGGGTTCAAGAACGGATGGACGTGACTTCCCATGCCCTCTCTGGTATTCCAGGGAGGCTCGCAGGGAGCTGCAGTCTTCTCCATGGCCTAGCAGAATGCAGGAATTAAATGCTGTTTGTTTTTCTGAAAACAGAAAAAATGGACATCATTCAGATTGTTAAATGCTTATTTTTCTCGTTTTCCATTACAGATTAAAGAGTCTATTGTTGGTGAAATCAGACGTGAAATTGTAAGTGGACTTTTGGCAGCAGTATCTTCAAATAAAGCATCAAGTTCTAAGCAAGATAGTCATTAAATGGAATCTATAGGTAAATATTTTTAATTTGTTTGTTTAGCTGAATCTAAATTAGCAGTTTTTTGTTTTGATATTTTTTTTTTATTTTTTTGCGAGCCTGGCTGGCCTTGAGTTTGCCATCCTCCTGCCTCAGCTTCCCCAGTGCTGGAATCACAGGTGTGCACCACCACATCCAGTACCACTTGGTTTTTGTTTCTTTGTTTTAACCCATAGTTCTGTTTCTCTAGCTAAATTTTTATTTTCACAGTGTATGTGCTATGTTATTCTGCAGTGTGAAAACCTCATGCAACTCCCCCCCCATTGAAGGGTGAGCCAGTCAAGTATTAAACTCCACAGACTTAACTTTATTGTGTTTTTTAATTGAATAGCAAATCCTGATGTTTGGACTTCAGAACTGGATCTTATTTTTATAAAATTGGCTACAGTAGTATTTTAGGTACACAGTTTGTGGTACAAGATTTTGAGAAGCATAGGTTCTTAGCAATTTTCCTAATTATTTTTTGTCTGTTAAAAGGAATATATTGTAGAGCCAGGGATTTAGCTTAGTGGTGCCACATCTGCCTTGCAGATGCAAAGGTCCTAAGTTCGATCCCCAATACCCCCCAAAAAATGTATAGATAGATCGATCTATCTATCTGTCTGTCTATACATATATATCATATAGATCCATTTGTAATCATAATTTCTAAAAAACTGTTTCATGGGCCAGAGATTTAGCTCAGTGGTTCTGCTGCCTGCCTTGCAAAAGCGAGGTGTCCTGAGTTTGATCCCTGGTACCGCGCACACACACACACACACACACACACGCGCACGCGCGTGTGTGTGTGTGTGTGTAAAACTGTTTCATATGATTAATCTGTTAAAATGAATGCTTATTTACTCATAGTTGTGATGACATTTTTAAAAAGTATATTAATAACAATACTTGGTGAATGCAAAATAGAATAATGGAAAGAACAGCACTTTTTTTTTTTTTTTTTTTTTTTTTTTTTT